GCGTACCCTGGTGACGGTTGGAAGAGAATTACTTATTTGTTTCTATGGTACTATACATTATTTTATATCTTTGGGTTCTTTTACGTCGTCTGTTATTACATTTATTTCAAACGTTTTCGCAATATAAATTTTCAACAGAGTTTTAAAGGTTCATACATTAGAATATCTTTGAAAACATAAAGATTAAGTACAGTAAATGTAGTTTGAATGACTTCTATATTTAAATTCTTTAGAAAATCACCATAACTTGTGGTTTTTAATGATAATCTTCCGCGAGTGCTCTGCGGTATGCAATAGATTTTTCCGCAAACGCTGAGTAGGCACTCTCAGACCTCTCTCTCTATGAGTAAAATGCATTTATTTTTTTCAATCACTTCATCCGAGTTTTTAAGTGAGTGTCCTTTATCTTTATGGATTATATTTTTTATATTTACTAAAGCCTGCATTAAATGTATTCTTTTATTTTATTTGAAGTGAATATAATGTGGGTCAGACAGTAGTTATACAACTTTAACATTATCTTTCTTTTGAAATATATTTAATTAATGTGGTTCCACCACTAAGAGAATATTATCTTCAGACACACCCGAATGCTCCTAATATCTGACGTCCTTTTATACGTTTAGAGATATCTCGTCCGTGCTTACTCATTGATTGTAGATAGTTAATTTTCTAAAGGCGTTGGGCCGCATTATTTATTTAGAAGCCCTCGCTCTATCGCTCATAGCGAGTGGGCCGTGGAATGTTATAGTTTCCTGAATAGTTCACTGACCGCTATTTGGCAACCTTGATATTTGTTTGCTTTTTAAATAACATTATTAAATAATGTATTAATTAGTACTATTCTAAGTTTTTCTTTTTCGTAACCTATTTGGAGTAAATTGTGAAAAAATATCAAGCAAGATTTTTAATTACAACTAAAAAGATATCCAAAAACTTTCTCTTTTAAACCAAACGTGTTATTAATTCTTTTGAATAAAATTGCGTTCTTAATGTAACCTTAATTTATTGATGAATATTTTGTTCGTTTAATATTAATTTTTATTTAAAATTATGATTCTAAAAAGTAAATAAATATAGATGGATAGATCGTTACTTTTTTAACAATATTTAAAGCATTATATTGTATAATAATTGTTGCAAATAGTAGTTATGCGGTTATTACGCAACTTCAATGAACGCGCACCGTCCTCAGAGTTCGTCGATTCAGGGCACAACTACTGCAACTCAAAAGCAACATTTTCTCTAGGCCTATGTCTAAAATTTATTCTGGATGTTGTTTTCAAAAATCCTGATAGCGTCCCTGTATTTTTCAATCTATGCATTCTTCGTCATTATTTCTCTAGTAGTGCTAAGTAAAGGGCTTTTATTTTAACTGTTTTGTCTACCTTTCACGAAAACTGAATTTATTATAGTAAGATTATCCCCTTACATAAATATTGCTCCGACTTCGATTATCTAAATACCTGATGTGTAACGCTATCAATAAAATTATCATTAGCAACATCATATTAATGTATATTGAATAATGAATATTAATACAACGCTAACATTTAGAAAAATCGTTTAATTATTCAAATTTCTATAAATAATTTAAAATTATATGATGAATAAAAAGTAAGTGTCGTGTTAATAACTAAATGTGTTTGAGGAGATATTATATAATGTCATCCAAGAGTAATTTATAGAGACATCCTCAATACGCGAACATTCCTGTGATGTCTATAAATCGAGTTTCCAGTTTAGTTGCCAGTATTATCCTTAGCGCTTAATTACTATACAGGTGCTAAATAAATTGTTATGTTAATTTGTGGATGCATTATCGTCAAACTGGTTTCTTTTTTATACCTGACTGACTTTAATACGTCTTTTAGGAAATCAAAGCCAACGTGATATATCAACATTGGCACATTGCGGTACCTTAGAATGTTTTTTTACACATTCGTTATTTCACTTGTTTGAAATATTTTATCGTGTTAGATGGCCTAATTTCTTGAGAGGAACTGATATCTTTGTAAAATTTTGGACTCACCATATCTTATCTAGAAAGGAAAAAACTAATCTGTTTCACTTTCTACATGAAACATGTTTAATATCAGATAAGAGAATAAAGAATTCAAAGATGTGATGAAAAGCAAACAGAAAGGCTATGAACATCCATAACATTTTTATATGTTTCAATTTAAAATTGATTAATGCCGTTTAACTACATGTTTTTTCCTTCAACACAGCTAGAATTAATTAAAACAGAACTCAACAAAGAAAGCTCCTTAAGTTAAGTTTAGAATATTTTTTTGTTAGTGACACTAAGCTAGAACTGCTAAGTTGCGGTTTTTGTGCGATAACTCGTACATGTATGTTCCAGTCAGCCTTATAAGAGAACTTATGTTTCTTATTACGCCCTACTGGGAATTCTAAACAGGCTTTGTTTATGAAGAAAGTGAGGTATTGATATTTCTCGTGCGTAGTCGATAGCTACAAATATGTCGCTGGAAGCCTTTATAAAGAACTTTTATATTCCTTATCAAAGTCCTGTCAATGTGTCCGATTTAGACAACGTCAACGACGTAAGTCTGACGATTATAATTAACAGTAACGCATAATTAAATATATATATTATTTTGACAAAATTACGTTATAGAAAAAAGGATTTATTTATTTATTTAATTACAAAAAGCATGTTATAAAAAAAACATATTTTATTCAAATTTTTCCGAACACCTGACATTTTACACTATGAAAAACATCAATTGAAATTTTAAGACGTTTCTAATATGTACCTTGTGTAATAGTAGTAATAGTAAATAGTATTCTCTTATATCGAATATTCAGTAAACGGGTCACTGCCTGTAAATAATAGTAACGAGGAAAAAATTAAAGGTTGTCGACGGCAGCGGACAGAGGTTATTACGTGTATTACGTACTGATGAGGCAATAGCGCGGCGCAAGCGCAAGGTAATGGTGACTTGAGATTACTTTTCGACTAGGATCGTGTACATCCGCAATCAGATGTAATTGGTCATTCACTTCTCGGTTTTCTTATGGTTGCACGGTGTATCAAATTTAAACGTTTTCGAACGCAGTTGTAGTGAAAATGGTTTTATTAATCTTTTCAAATGTGCACAATTTTGACACGTTTGTCATTACCATATATAAAGTATAAGCTTCTAGAAACTCATCGGAACGTAACAGCGACCGCAAAACCGCGATAACAAATAAAAATGCTTGGTAATGGAATTTAGTAGTGGGAATATAATTAATATGGTTTTTATATGGCAGCTAGCTCATTCGAATGCAAGTAAATGAACATTACATATTTATTATCTTTATTAAAATGTACCAAAAGTGGATTTAAAGGACTAACGTTTTTATATATTTTTATAGATCTTTAAAATTATAGATTTACAATAATTATAATAGTTCAAATATGAAAAAAATTAATACTTTAACATCATAAAGACACGATCGGAAATATTTATTTATTTCATATTCATTCTAATTTACAAGTCACATAAATAAATATGTTTTACTTTCACATATTTATGATGAAACTCGTAAATATTATGGCAACTTCTAGTCTCGGCGTGCTAACAAGCACCATGCTGCGAAACATCAATTACAACGCCGAAATGTAAATATACGAGTATGTACCTTCAAGGCCTTTGTATGTACCAGTATTTATCGCCCTGATATTTTATATTGAGAGAAAATTGTGTATATTTAGGACTATGTATGTACATAACTATCTATAGAAAAAAAAAGTATTAATTAAATTTGTTGAAATTTAATTTTTAATTTTCGTGTAGTCTTATTAACCGCAGACTACTATGATTTTGATTTTGTTACGATATTAAAATTTTCCAAATCATAAGAAGCATAATGCTTCATAATTGATGATGATTTTTTAAAATATTTTGCTGTAAGGACCCACGATATGATAAAGAAGGAGTTCAAGTTACTGGTTTTAATAATTTTAATTTAAGCAATATTAATTACATAATGTAAATGAGAAGTAGTTGCATTCTTGCCTTATTTTTATTTAGTTCAACACGAGATTAAAAACTCAAGTTATATGAATATGAACGATAAAAAACTATTGTCATGGTAATTGAATTAAAATATATTTTCTTGTGAGTAAACTGCATAGTGTTACATTTTAAACATGAAATAAATTTTCATTTAACCGCAATGCGGGTTCAATCGATAAAAATAACTTTTTATTGTTGTCTATAATATTCACATTCACATTATAAGCTTAGTAAAATGAATTTTTTACTGCTCACGAGCCCACATTATACTAAAATGCATTTTAACTGTTACTTAAAATCTCATCTTTATTCTCATCAGGTAAAAGCACTTCATATATATCTAACAATAAATTTAATATTTATGTGTAAAAATTCAAGTGCTATTATCTGTTTAAGGTATTGCTTTTTGACAGCGATTTTCCAGTGTACTTTTATTTACAGGATATATTTTGTTGTTTGTAACGACTTTAAAGTTATACTGAAATACTTACACATAATTTTAAAAGAAATAAAGTCGCAGTGAGGCGTACCTAAGGTTTCTTTTAGAACTACCATTTCTAAATAATATCCTATTCTTACTTATTATGGTTTTAATTTAATACAATACGTTATGGTGCAAATAAATCATGAATCCGGCATGTTAGTTATAATTGTATTATAAATGAGGACCGTGGTGTGAGTATTGCTACCTAATGGAATCGCTATCAATGATACCAGTGTACAATGACATTTCCCACAGTAATGTGAGATTGTAATGCAATATATGTATATACGATCAAAATATGCAATATTCTCAATGTTCACTGAAAACGTGAATTATTATATTACAGTTGCTGAGCTTGAAAATGATCAACAAAAATGATCGTTTTTCTTTAATTACATTAAATTGGATACAATGAAAATTTTTTGTAAACAATATAATAGTGTCTAAATATTGAGTCTAGAAAGTAAGCTATAATTTGTATTTTCATAATGGTGTCCCTGATTCAATCCAGACCGATTTGCACTATTCTGCAGTGGAGGATAAAAAAATTACATGGCAACTCTAATCCAGGACTCGATCCAGGGCGCATTCCCGATTCGTTCCTCGTTGTTTTTGCGGCTAGGCTCACTAATGGCTACAGGTTTAGCGAGAGCACCCGAGTTGTCCTACCCAAGACTGGTCTGCTCAAAAACATTGATGAATCTTAAACAGTTATTCCTATGTAATTTATTCTAATGTGTCTTCAATGCTTGTTTTATAGCAAATGCAATTGCGATGACGATTACTACAAATTATTATATATATTAGTACTTTATATGAACTTGTGATTGAAATAGATTTATCCTTTATAAAGAAAGTACCGAGCTTTCTAGCAACATAAGGCTTTATTAAAAGATGACAACGGTACATTTTGATTGACACTTTAATATATCGAAGGTAATTTGTACGAGAAATTAATTTCTTGTGGATATTCTTGAAAGCATTAATTTGTTAAACAAGATTATATTAGCATTAACACTGTGTCATTTCCTATGATATCAGAGATTAATGGTACTTAAAATTCAATCTATTTGAAAGCCAATGACAAAAAAAAATGAACAAACCAATTATATTCATAACCTTTTGGTGTTACTATTAGGTACTTGATATTATTATGATATCTTTTCATAATATTTTCAGCGTATAAGCTTTTTGTTTACTTATTTAGGCTCGTTTCCACAGTTACACCCTGGACCACGGATAGCTTACATACTCTCCAAGACATATTGTTTTAAATATTAGTCTTTGTGAAATATTTAATTACTATATAACCAAAAAGTTTGAAAGAGAAACCTATCATCAGACTTCAAATCAAATGTAGTAAACCAAATGTATTGTCTTTCACGAAGTTCTATTTTTAAAACAAACTATAACTTAAACTACAACTAATTAACGTAACATTAATATATTACAGGGATATTAGATATCAGTGCATTAAAAAGTCGTAAAAGTCCATTCTATGTTAGCATTAGTGGTTTAATATCATTAAGCCTTTACAAGCGAGTTTTATAAGTAATAAGTGTAGTAAGGAAGCATACACATTTATATTATTTTATACTACTCACTTTATTTTAATTAAAATGTTGTAATACAATCCATACAGAAATATTCATGAGATTCTAAACGTTTTATAAAAAACATGATATTCCTAAATATACATGTTTCCGGTGCACATTCTTCATTCAGGATAAGAGAATAAGCTTTTTTTTTTTAGATTTTTAGGGAATTGTGATTTTCGTGACCTAAAACTGATATTTCCTGGTACATAAAATTACTGTAAATTATAGTTGTAAGCGTTTCAAGTTTTCAAATCTAAACCCGGATTATGATAGAGACAGCCAAAATGCAATTAATTGTAAAAAATAATTTTCATGTAAAGACAAATGGACACTTTATGAGTATGTATTTTTATCTATATTTACTTAATAGATAAAAAAGGATACAAGTGAGTGTTGTATACGCTATACATGTTTTTCATAATATTTATTTTATTTCTTTATATCAATGCATAAAGAATTTAGAGTCCACAGTGAATTATTAATTGATGTAATTAGTATACAACAAAATATGTTGTAATATTGTAGCAACAAGACGTTGTAATATTGTAGCAACAACTCACTAAAAAAAACATGTAATTTAGCTAATAAGATAATTCAGCATTTTAGACATCCTAAATACGTTCGGGTATAATTACGCAAATAAGCTCCGCTACCGTTGGAATGCTCTGGTAAATATGAAAGAGTCGGGATGATGGAATCAGCTAACGCTTATAATGTAAAACTGTTAATTAATTATACTAATCATGTAATGTCACGTATTATGTGGTCAATATAAGATATGAAACTAAAGATTTTATCTTTGACTTCGTTAAAAGTGGTGGTAGGAATTCCCAAATTTTGGTATTTTATAGAACAATAAGTGGAATATAATACATAATGTATTATCGAGCACTATACTTAAAAATATATAATTTTCTTCTTTTCGTGGTTTTTCTATTAAAGTAATTTGTATGCTTCCTGGATAGAATTATTGCCTTATGTATCAAAAATGTGTTATAAATATTAAATCAAATAAAACTATTCAATTCTAATGGCGAAAAATTACTAAAATGCTAGGAACTTAAAAGGTGTTACATTGGTAAAACTCAAACAATCAGCAGGCTTTTTGAAATAAATGGTGAATAATTCATAACTATTTATATTTTATTTATTAAGTTATAATCAAAAAGTTTCCAGATTTTTTATAAAAGGCTATTATTATATGTAATTAGTAACGATATAACAAAATGTTATTTTTAAAATCCAATATTGGAAAAACGACGATATAATGACGTCTACTACTATACTACTTGTTGTAGTACATAAACGCTATGAAGTGGTTTTTTTACACGTTTTTTTCGATAAATAACATAATTATAAATACTTTACAGGTACATGTAAACGACAGAAGGATAATTTAAAAAAAAAATTTTTAGTTTTACTTATTATTATAATTAATCTTTATAAACCTCTTTTTACTACATTATTGTTTTCTTATTTAATTCAAAGACTGACTAGTTTTTAGCAAGCTAATATATAGATATGACAACTTTTCAAATCCCTATTAATTTTAAATAGTTTGTTTCAATTTAAAATATTCATGAAACAATGTTTTCGACAAAAATGTAAATTGGCTCATAATAATTATTTATAGTTTTACCTTTCCTTAGAAACAATAGCTACTACATAATTTCATACAGGATGTGGAAACCTCACATGCAGTTATTTAGATTAGTCGTATCCGCACTTAATCAATTTATTAATTGCTTCATTTCTCAATAACAAAGCGTAAAGTAAATTGTAAAATTATTGACAAACTAATATTATTATCATTATACTTCTTATATGAAATATGATTAACACATAATTTAACTGCACTTTTGAAATTTATATTTACATACATTTTCCAAATACATTTAGTATATGTACTCATCGCAAAAATCTGATATTGAGTACATATATATATAGAAAAAAATATTACTTGCAAAAAGTATTACACAAAGTTATTTAAACATTTGTACTTTATAAAGAAAGTCTAATCTTTTAACAAAAGTAAATTGTACCTAAAATTTTTTAGGCGTCTATAGTCGACGGGGTTAATAAGGCACGAGAATCAACGAACCCAGTTCCGTGACTTCCTTTTTAACATTGACGTAGTGAGAAAGTGTTCAGAAGCGTGGCCTGGTCTTTTGTCTCGAATGAATTGTCTAAGCGCATCCCAAATGACGACTCGTCACTGGGTTAGTTACCCCATTGTTATCTTTGTATTAATGTTGCCCTGTTTCTCTTTTATTCTTAAATTCTGTGAATCTCAGGATCGGATTATTATAAGTCAATTACTTTTTACATATAGGAATGTGTGATGTAGAGTAACGGCAGCTAACAAACTGACAAGTCATCACCGCTAACAATCCAATGCTCTTATTGCATCGCTGCGTCATGGCTTCTCAAAGAAAGTACAGCCGTCATTACCTTTACAAAGTAGCTAGAAAGTATTCCGACGCTGCTTACTTTATGATAAGCTTGATAAGGCATGTTAGGTAACTTTGTACTATACTAATACATCATCCGCATTATGTCATTGACCTCCAATTTCGGAACAGTGCGTAATGTAAACATTTTTTCCAAGATAACGTGAATTTTAACACGTGCGAGGACGTGGGGGATACTAAATATGAAATCGAGGATCTTTTAATGTATTATTTAGTTTAAAGTTACACTAGACGTCTAAATAAATATTACTTTTACCATATTGTTTATGACTGTTTATAACTACTGTATAAAAGTTTTTTTTTTTTGAAATACATAGTAATTGATATTCATGCTAAGATAAAACTTTTGTTTATTGCCTAAACATTTTAAAGAAAAATTATATTTAAATATAACAGTAACCGAGCCGTGTCTAAATTGTTAACTAAACAAGTAGACAGAAAACAAGCGAGCCTGTACAAAACGACCACACTGGAGCCGACGGTGCGAAGGGAATGAGGCATCCACTCATTTGCACTAATCGGAGGCTATGGAGCTCATGTTACAATCATGCTTTCATGCCAATGTGCTGATTATAAATTACTTAAAGATACACATGTCTTATTATTCGTGAATTGATACAATTGTAAACAAAGATTCGATAACAAAACAAAATTAATGTAACAAAAATCCTGGAGCAGTTTTTTACTACTATTCATGTATTATAATGACAAATCTATACCACTATTAAGGCATAATATACAAAAGAATGTAACAGTAGGTTCTATCTTTGTTGGTAGATGAAATGTAAAGGCGCAAATTAGTTGGAATCTCGCCAAAGAGCCCGGCGAATAAAGAATCATAATTCTCTCCGAGGCTCCCTAAACGGTAGCGAGTATTTTTTGAGAAAAGATTTTCTAGAACAGTTTTTATAGTTGAGCCTATTATATATAACCATCTAGATTTATTTAATGTAAAATACTTTATAAGAAGGCGCATATACTTTATAACAATTTACTCTTAAAATCTATATTTTTTACTTGTATTTTTTTATATCTTTACAATTGAATAAATGTTGCTATCAATAACTTAATTAAAATTAAGTCTTAAAATGTCACAAATTTTTAGTCTGTGACCATACACTTAAGATGCGCTGCCAGATGTCCCTCGTCCTTTTATCAGTAAATTAGATTAAAGTGCACTGGTTTGAGCCGTTTTAAGTTACACTTATGTCCCGATAACAGTTTCCTTGTATGCGTTAGGGAGATACTGGTAATGTATATGTGTGTAAATACATTAAAATAAAAAGGGTTGAAAATGTGTTTGAGTTTATTACGTAATTTTAACCGTGAAAAATTATTAAAAAAGTTTAGTCGTTTGAAAAATTTGTAGGTCATTAATCTTTTAGGAATAAAGCTGTACACACCAAAAAATTATGAAAACGTTTGAGTTACCACGTGTTTGAGATAATTTAGAGGCACATATTTGAACAACAGTTATAGACTAGAGTACACATACATTTAATATTGACATAACAGTGATAGAATATATCTACGGTCTTGTTTAAATATTTCTTTAAGTACAAAACATGGTTTTAATAATAGTAGAAGATACTAATGAACCCATTGAATATTTTTCTTATCTTCACCTAGGATGCTCTT